CATTCTACGCGCTTTTCGTAGATTCGACGAACAACACAGATGTTTGGGGAAATCAATGATGTGATCGATCCCCCTCGAACGGGTAGAGCGCGCATCTGCTTGCCCGGGACGGCCGCCCGTCCTCGCTGCTGGTGCCCTGGCTGCTGCCGATTCTTTGAGGGGAAGGGGGGCCGCACAGCCAAGGAGCTGGATTGAGGGCCCCTCTGGAGGACAATCGCGCGCTTCGCGCGTCGCGCGTCGAGGTCTGGGCTGGAGAATTGCCCCTCCTTGCTGGGGGCTGCGCGAGGGCACGAGGCGGGACGCGGCGCGCGAGGCGAGGCAAGTTACCAGCCTGACGCATGTCCGTACCCCTCATCTCGATGCCGATCTTAAGGGCTCCCTCGGATTCTGAGGGCGCATCTTTAAGACTGTCATCGCCTTGGGGCTTGTGAATCTTAGGGGCTGGGATGCAGCGCGAGGCTGGTCAGCAAGGCGTGGCGGATGGTTCAGGCCAGCTTCTGTTGAGGGGCTTCTGTTGTCACTGCCTGAATATCCCAGGGGACTCTGTCTCGATGCGGCCCTTGTTGGCTCCGTCGATTTGTGTGGGCTTCTAGTGGCTTCTTCTTCGGTAACAACTCATGGGGGCCTCGTATGCCCCAGAAATTTGGTCTTTCGGGTGCATGGGCGTGCGCTAGCGTCTGGTAGTCGATGGTAAACCGCCGCCTTGGCGTCGGGTAGCGTCGGTTTAGAGCGTCGACGAGCGCCGACTAGCGTTGACTAGCGTCGGTTAGTTGTCGATGTGCAAAAGCCAGCAAGATGGCATGGGAGGCTCCCATGAGTTGCCGTAGAACTCTTCTCCTAGCGAGGGCACTCACCGCAGGTTTTTGTGTCCGCCGGCCTCTGCCAGGGCCCATCGGTGCCCCTTCTCTCGGCCCTTGAGCCGACTCAGCGTAGACCTCCTGCGCGTAGGTTAGCCGGAGCAGTCTGGGCCGATGTGTCGTGCGAGATGGCGTGGGAATGGAACTGGCACTTGCGGGGTCCGAGTAACGCCTTTCACGATGAGGGAGGATGAGGAGGGGGAGTGAAGATTTTTGGATTGGACTCGGATTTGTCGCTGGGTTCGAAACTAAAACATTCTTGAGAGCGGTTGAACCCATCTAGCACCTTGGCGACGCCTTCGGCGAGGACAGGGTGAGGTGGGGGTGGTGGTGAGGAGGAGGAGGATGAGGAGGACAAGTGTAAACCCAAGACTCATCAATGATGTTGGAATACACCCTTTCTCCAAGCTCCCTCCTCATAGGCCCCTATAAGGGTTCATTTCCACTGAGGGAAGTGCGCCGTTGGGGGACAACCGTGTGCAAATTTTGACGCGTGCCAAAACACCATTCTCAGGAGTTCAACACCACGAGTCAATCTGACTGTTGCTTCTTGACGAGCCCGAATCGTACCAGAATGCCAGTCCTGAGACTTGAACGCCGCGAATCAACGTCACTGTTGCGCCCTGACAGTCCTGAATCGTTCCAAAACGCCGTTTTTGGAATGTTAGCCATGATCACCCTGAAACTCTTGCACATGTTCAGAACGAATGTGCGCGGCGCGAAGGCGAGAGCCACATTTTGAATATCAACCAGCCTCAATATGTGAAGCTCTTGCAACTTTGAAAACGAATGTACGCGACGCTAGAAGGCGAGAGCCACAATTTGAAAACGACCAGTCCTCATTCCGTAAAGCTCTTGCAAAGTTTTTTTTTTGTTAGACGAACTTGCGCGGCGCTAAGGCGAGAGTCACATTCTGAACAATACCTGCCCTCAATCCATGAAGCTCTTGGAATTTTTAAGACTCTCGCCCTCCATATGTGAAACTGCTGCCATTTTTGAAGCTTCAGGGTCATGAGTGGTGGGGAAGTCTCAGTCGAAACGCCGCGCCCGCTCTTTCGACCAGCCTCGGGGTGCGATATGGAGGAGTTATCCTTGAGGAAAAGGAATGCGCATCCGTAAGAGGCTCGCACGTGGTGGCGACAGGCGGGGAACGACCTATGGGGCATGCAAGCAGCGGCCCAACTAGCGGCGGCAGTTGGGACCAGGCAGGCCAGGCACTCGGCCCTTGCCGATCTTCGCCCGGTGCCGTAGCAGCTCGCGGAGCCGGTCGAGCGGCAGGAGGCTGAAGAGGTCGGTGCTCGAGTGCTGCTGAAGGTCGCCAGGCAGCCGGAGGTACTGCGCCTTCAGCTCCGCGCGCTCCTCGGTTGCCGCTCCGCCCTCCGCAGCCGCCGCCACAGCAGCCGCCGCCGTAGGCTCCGCGGGAGCCTCACCAGCACGCGCACGACCAGGAAGAGCGACCGTCTCCGCAGGGCCTGTCGCCGTAGCGCGCGGGCCAGCTCCAGCAGCAGCACCTCCAGCCGTGACGACGACAGGGGATCGTCCGCCCACGCATTATCCAGGTCGTCTTTCATGTCGCCGTCCTCGTTCACTTTGTCCGTAGCACGCGCGGCCACTCGCCGCTCCGCAATCCTCCGCCTGCGGCGGCGCCTCCGCAGCACCTTGCCCTCGGAGACCTTGGAGTTCCATGCCTCCTGCAACGCTAGGGCGTCCGGCGGTACGTCGGCAGCCCTGGCGCTCGCCGCGTCCGCGTCGGGCGGCGGCGCAGGCGGCGCGGCGCGCGTCCGAAGCGAGACCGCTGCTACTGCACCCGCCACCGCCGACACCGTCCGCCGCGGCGCCTTGGCCTCCACAGCCGCGCGGACCGCAGCCGCAATCATGGCGGCGCCGTCCTCTCCAGCCGTATGGAGCCCTCTAGGCCGAGTCATCCCGAGCAGGCGGGCGGCCGCGGCCAGGGCGATTGCTTGAGCCAGAAGAGCTACGGAGGAGGGGGAGGGGGAGGCGGAGGAGGCGGAGGCGGAGGAGGCGGAGGAGGAGGCGGAGGAGGAGGAGGAGGAGGAGGAGGAGGA